GGGGGAGTGCTTTAGGAAGCCCACGTCAGCCGCTCGTTGACAAAAAGAACAACAACAACAACAACAACAACAAAATCAATCAAGAAAAGACAAATGCGGTTTCTGGGACACTTGAATAGAAATAAAGGCCTTGAACATCTAGCTCTCACTGGAAAAATTGAACACAAACGAGGCAGAACAGCTTACTAAACTTACTTTCTCGGAGAGCAAGATGGGCGACGTAGAGAGACCATGAAAATGTGGCTTTTTTTTTTAGAACATCCAAGCAAAGGAATGGATGGAGAACCATGATTGCCGATGTTTGTCGCAGATCTGGGACTTGATAATGAGGCTGCTACCAGTGCATGTCTTGTTCATCTCAAGCTCAAAGCTGTAAAGCATTCTTCTGTGTAAATACTCTTAGTAGTCTTAGCAACGACTTGACAGGGCAGCTCCCCAATGCTGTACTGTCATTAACTTTCCAGACTTCACGATTTCGAAGCTTCTCGTCTCTGTTGTTCAAATCCCTACGTGTAGTATGTCGCAATCTTGTCACTGGTTATGTATGAGCCGAAATGTTTTTTTTTTTTAAAAGACCCAGTTCCAACTGTTGAACATGAGGGCAAGAGTATAATGTACTGTTTTTGTAAGAGTTTTACAGCACTTGCAACACAATATAGAGGATGTTACGGACATTGAATAATCCAAGGTTTCATCATATATCGGAAATGAACAGGAACTTCAGCTCAGCTCAACTTGATCTTTTAACTGTGGAAATAAACATAGAATGTTTTCAGAACCTGACTCATATATATATACACTTCAAAAGTACTTCAATTTATGACTTCCCGTGAAACAATTTTTTAAAAATATTTTGTCAAGTGGGATTCTATTGTGCTGGGGATATTAACCGTGTATTGTGAGTCCATTATCATAACCTATAAAAGAAAAAACAACCATTTCAGCCCATTGCCACTCTAAAGAACAAAGTTTTGAAAAACAGAATAGAGAGAGTCAGGCTGCCCCGCCCTCTATCGGGAGGTATGAAATCAAAGAGTTGGATTGCTAACAACGCATATATAAATAATGTGAGTGAATAATAATATACTCCGCTTTAAAAGTCAGTAGTTGTTTGTTTGTTTTTCAAATAAACCTCTTATTTCTTTCATATATTAACAGTACACAGAGTGCAAACGAATCGCCATCATCGCAAAGGAAAAAAAACCCACACACATTGTAAGCCACATATATAGCCTATCTAGTTTATCTTAATCTCAGAGCTGGGTATGGCTATAACACTCTTCTACGTAGGCTATTACGTGTATATTCAGTGCAGTCTTGTCTGTACTTATAACAATTTGACGGGGTATCTCCCCAACGCTGTATTGTCATTAACTTTCCAGACTTAACGATTTCCAAGCTTCTTTTCTCTGAGTTCGAATCCGTGCAGATGTTCCGTCACAATCTTGTCACGAAGGCAAGAGGATCATGTACGAGTACGGCAGAGGAAACTGGGGGCAAGCCAACAGAGGTAATAAATCTGTAACCCCTTTCCCCCGTCCATATTTTCCCCAATTCCAGATTTGTGCTCTGGGTGCATGAGTGAAAGTGAACGTATGTGTGTTTACATTAGTTTATTTTGATCTAATATCGTTGTTGGCACAGTGGGCGGTTAGCGGGTGATTTAGTGTGGTTTACTCCTTTCCTATCAAACATCTATCGTCCTTATCTCTCCTCCTCTTTTGTGTTTGTTACTTTCTTTTAAGACCTCTCATCTTCGGCACTTATTGTATTGCGAGAGCCCTAAAACTAAAACAAAAACATAAAACAAACAAGCGTTGACACAATTATAACCATATGGAAGTGGAGAAAGACAAATTGGTCAAACTGAAGAAACAGCAGAGGGACAGAGGGAAAGAAAATACATGGGGCTTACCAGTAGCAACCGCTTGCGCCTGTAAATGTGTGTGCGCGAGTATGCGCGTGTGTGTGTGCTCGCGCACGCGCGTGTGTGTGTATGTGTGCACGCCAGCGCGCACGAGCACGCGCGTATTCAATAAGTGAGCCATGTTGAGGTACTCCGTGCCTTAATTTCATGATGAGAGAAGAGAGACCAAGGCTAGACACCAGTCCTTACTTTCTAAACCAATGGTTGTTTATTGTATTGTTGTAGCAGGACGCTCAAACACGTCAAAATGGTTGGCCAAAAAGTCGTCAAGTGCGTGAACCAGCCTCGCATCATTCCATAGTTTTGTTACGCCCTGGCCTGGTTTGGATTGTTTTAACGTCAGCTTCAGCCCCGGGGGCGTTATTTAAGAGACTGGACCTAATTTAACGTCCATTTCCAATAGGATTGAGCCAAGTGGAGGGAGAGCTTTGAAGCCTACCATCCCTAAAAAAAACAACAACAAAAAACATTCATAGTTCAAGGGGGGGTTTAGACTAGGACCATCCGCATCATATATACATAGACAGCTCAGCGTAATATTACCTGTGCGGACGCCACGCACCGTGAAAAGTATAAAATTGTCTGAAGAAGTATATATACATTACAATTGTATTTCTCAATAATACACTGTTGGGAATAAAAACAAGTGCATGGCAGGCTGCCCCAATTGAAATTGTTGCATCGTTTCACAACCTACCTCTGTTCCGTCCTCGTTTGTTTGTTTTTTAAACTCTAATATAAAAGTTATGCTCCTTCACCCATGCAAAAGCGTGAGACTTTTCAGGCGCATGACTTCGGAGAAAATCTCGATCTAAGAAAGAATGTGGCAACAAGAGATCCATCACCACGAGTGGTCTGCTCGCCGACAACTCAAAGTGGGCTTGAAAACTCCTTTCATTGTGGGTGTACCCTGGAACGCCCTCCTTCTGTTTTATTTTCCTCTTTTTAAACGCAAACTGTAATTATCACCCCCCCCCCCCCCCCACACACACACACACACAACTCACCTCCCCGCTTATCCATTCGAAGGCAAGGATATCCTCGGTTCTCAGTACAGTGAACACCCTTCCTCCCAGTGCCTTCCAACATGTGTGTATGTGTATGTGTGTGTGTGTGTGTGTATGTGTGTGTGTGTGTGAATGTGTGTGTGTGTGTGTGTGTGTGTGTATTTATTACCAGTGCGCTCACGCACACACACACACACACATACACACACACACACACACACACACACACACACACAAACGCACAAAAAATCACGGACGAGATTATATGCAAATCCACAGAATTATTAAAAAAACTATAGATATAGATCTAGATCTATATCACTATTTCTAGTCGTTTTAAAATAATTTTGATCTGCCTCGCTGACAACGTAGACATACATCATGTATAATCACACTCTACAACATGTGCTGGGTGCAGAAATAATGTTATGCTCTGCTGAGCATTTGAAGGACGCACTGAGTAAAAACCCATCTACATGTATTCTTATCTCCAAATTATGTCTATGATTGCTGTCTCATCATCTGCCTACTCTCTGCATGCCACACCTACTGATATATTTCTCTTAAAAAAACTTATTGTTTTGACAAAATATCCTTACGTTCATAACAACAGTAAACAATAGCGAAACCACTGGCAGCAACAGCAGCAGCGACAGGAGGAGGAGAAGGGGAGGAGGAGAGGGAGGAGTTTCTACATCGAAGTACATTGTAGGAGTATTATGACACTTGCAATACAATTACCTCACATAAGTACCAAAGATTAGAAATGTTACAAGAGAATTACAATGTGGAGAGAAAAGATTGATAGTTTGATTTCGATAGGAAAGAAAGAGGAAACCATACCTGCCAACCACCCACAAAGATGGTGGAGGACAGATTAATAAATCCTTTACTTCTAGTACCGTAGTGTTAAGTTTAGTTTTCGCAAGAATTTTACGGCACTTAAAACACAATTAGGTAATATAACTTAATATAAGTGCCAAAGAGTAAAGGTTTAACTTAACAGTAACACATTAAAAAGGAGGAGAGAAAAGGACGATAGATGTTTGAGAGGAGAGACGGAGCAAACCATACCAGAGCTCCCGCAAACCATCCAATCCTAGTAGTGCCAACCTCTCTTCACAACTAAAAGGAAAATGTAGTGAGTGCTTTTCCAAGTACAAGTTAAAGTGCCAACAGCAAGAAGTTGGGGGCATAGCAAAACAATAGTCTAGTTATAAAAATATAGTCCAATGCGGGTGACACCTTTCCCCACTAGCCTTTCATTTGTCTTGCCAACATGTCCAGTGTTTTTGGAGATAATGTCAAAGCGCGATTCTGGATTATAATAGTGCGTACTAGTCTGTGGGACTCTCTCTCTCTCTCGCTCTTTCTCTCATCAGAAAGTCAAAGAACAATGTTTATATTCACTGACTTTATTGCACATGGTATAATGAGAGTCCTCTATGGAGAACTGAAGAATGGAAAGACGAAAACAGGCCAGCCTCTTCTTAAAAAATGTCAGCAACAGAAACATGACTCAACTAAGATCAACTATACAACCTGGAAACAGGCAGTAGAAAATCGCAGCTAGAGGAGGAATGAAGTCAAGATTAGTCTCACGATAAAAGCAGAAGATTTAGCTGCAAAAAATTATCACATGACATTTGAGGAGACAACTTGACAAAATGCAGAACATTTTTCAATTTTCTACACTCACTCAACTAAGAATTTTCAACAAGCAGAGGTCCAATTAATCCCAGGCACCATCATCACAGGACAGAGAATGCAGACAATTACACGGTACAACACTATCGTGCGTTTTTGACAGAATAGTGCCAACGATAACAGCTTTAAAAGTTCATGATCCACAATGACAATAGAGTTAAAAACCCACTCAGCAGAGTTCCCTTCTGATGTCACTTCCCCTTCCATGACCAGGACATCACTGTGTCAGCAAACAGCATGTCTACAGGAAATCCCTTGAGAAAATATGCAGCATTGTCAAACTGTCATATATGTCAAAGTTATGAGATATGGCAAAATGTGACAAATGCATGAAGAGAGTGAAAGTAGATAGAAGAAAAAGACACTCAACGTAACCACAGGTGAATGGTAAATGATGAAGCAAGAAGCAACACCTAAGTGTTAGGCTTCACCTGAACAAGGGAATGTACTCTCATATCACCATTTTAGGACTGAAAGAAGAAGGTGGTATTGGTAGTCTTGTGGTTATGGCGTGAGATTGCAGGATCCAGGTCAACTCTGCCTGACGTTAGGACCTTCCCAAAGGAATTTCAATTTTCAACAACAAAAAATTTTTCATCTGGCTCGGTCCTAATGGAGACAGACATTAAGTTCGGATATCCACCTCATAAATAACCTCAGTGTTCAAAGGGGCATTAAACGTACACAATTTCCCCCAAAGAAGAAAACAGAGACACTGACATTTTAGCAGACATGACCAGTTCTTGAACTTTTTCTGCCCCACTTGTGGAGACACAGGTCAAGACTAAATATAGAATTCTGGCGATTCCCATCTGAGACTGACAAAATGCAACGGAGACTGAGCTCAAACACATGATAGGCCGATGAAGAATCTTATATCCATTGAAATCGCATAACTTAAGAAAGCAGAAAGCCCTGAGTCCCCTGCAGAATCCAGACGAACTGAGGTGCTAATCGTCACCATACACCAAAAGCACCATAAAATGTACAGAGGCCAGGCAGATGCCTGTGACACTTATGCAGAAGCATCGAAAAACTTGTCTAGAAGCGCGGACAGATCGGCTGGCTGGTACTTGATGTATTTCCCCCTATTCTTGGTGAAGTTGAGCTGGCTGTACTTGTTGTAGAACATGGTGTATCGTGGAACCATGTACTCCTTGTTTTCCGAGATCAGGGACTGCCTCAGCTCTGTGTCTGGCATGGCGTACGTCTTCTGAACGCGGAAAATTTCCTCCAGCTCTTTGTTAAATCCCTAAACATGAGATTAGGGTCGGTTATTAGATATTTGTATGTCTCATGACACATATTTTTCTAACTGGGGTTTTTCAAAAACGAGTTTTTACTACTTATCCTGTAAGGCAGACTAAAACAGAGGTATTTATTTTTCTAATGACAGAGATAAAACACATGGCACAATATTATCATGAAGGAAAAAATTCAATTCACTTTATATGTCAGAATAAATATCAGAGACAGACTTAAAACAAGCAACCACAAAAATGCACAGGCACACATGCACACACACACACACATACACAAACACACACACAGACATACATAAACACAAAAGCACACATACAGACACATGAACAGATAAACACACCCAACCACTCACTGACAAACACAGAGAGAAACACATACAAACAAACACACAATCACACACACACACATACAAAGACAAAAACACATGCACAGATGAACAGACAAAGACATACACACAAAATCACACTGCCATACGATACTCACAGTAAACTTATCCTTGATGTTCTGTCTCTCCTTGTCTTTGAGCTGTGAGTACACACAAAGAAGGCCATCTTGTTACCCATCTGAGCAGCTACTCAGTGCATGTGTGTGGATGTATGCATATGCATGTGCATCTCTGTGTGCCAGTGTGTGCGTGTCCCTGTGCACGCACGCACGTGTGTGTGAGTGTGTGTGTGTGTGTATGTGTGTGAGTGTACTTGTTTGCGAGTATGCATGGACACTAAGAAAGTCAGCATCAGCATGCTACCCACTCACTTGCTTTCACCTGCAGTATAGTATGAAAGTACAAATAATTCATATGTGTGAGCAAGTGTGCTTGTGTGACAAGGAGTGTACATGTGAGTACCCGCATGAGTGAGTGACAAAGTGTGTGCCTGCTTTTCTCTCCAAGTGAGTTTGTGTGTACATGTGACAGTAAATGTGAAAGGTGCGTGTGAGTTTTTTTAAAAACTCTATCAAAACAAGAAAAAAATGACTTAGGCAATTGTATTCTGATCTTTCGAATGTGACATCAAGAGGACGGGCAACACACACACACACACTGCTACTGTCAGGTCAAGACACAGTGGCACCAGATGTCCAATCATGATAACACAGCACTGTGCAGGGGGAGATAACTCACCTTGACAGTGTCCTGGTTGTTTGTTCGCTGCTGTGACATCGGTTTGTCCACCTCGAGGATGTAGTGAAGGACTTTACTCCAACTGAGATCACAAATACAAACACACAAACACGATCACAGTTAGGTGGAGAACAGCAAGGTGAATTATCAGGAACACAAGGTAAAATAGCGGTGGCATTCACCAAGGGTGCAAGATAAATTTTGTTTAAAATCAAGGATACAAGTAGAGACGGGCGGGAAGCGCTTTTTCCTTCTCGAGCGAGAAGACCGAGAAGCTGACCTACTTCTCACCGAGAATGGTCCCGGGAACAAGAAATACTTCCCGTCTCGTGCCTCGAGCAATACTTCTCGTCTCGTGACCAATTTCTCGTTCAGCGAGAAGGCCGGCCGTGGCCGAGATTTCTCTTCTCGCCCCACAGAACGAGCAACTCGTTTAGCAGGAAGGCCGATCGTGGCGGGGATCTAAACTTAGAAACTAGGCTTGCCCTGTTGCGCAGGCGCAGGCGGTGAAGGAAGGTAGGGAGACCTATGCCTAGGCCCTGATCAACTCCCCACTCGCCTCGTCTCGCCACCCTCTCCCCTCCCTTTCAGTTTCACACACTGGACGGCCGGTGATGGGTGGCACTGTCTGCGTTGTCATTTCTCGCCTCTCACTCTCTCACTCTCGTTACTATTACTCGTTATGTCAAGCCAACGAGCAGTGTCACGTCTCAGTACCAAGCAGTAGTTTAGTGCCTAGGAAGCGACGGGAAGGGCGTTTCTCGTGAGAAACGAGTACTCGGCTCATCTCATGCCCGCCCCTAGATACAAGATAAATGTCATAATTCATTAACACCATTAGATTAATATCCCTTAAAATCATCAGTAATACAACATACACTAATGAAGTTAAAAGCTGGAAACCCATGTACAAAGGGAAGTACGACCAGAGATTTATCCACAACAATGACTGGTTGTGGTCTAAATATTGCTTCAGAATCAAGCATCTTGTTTTTGCATGAGTATAAAGCTCTACAACACATAAACTAGACTTTTTAAAGGCAGGTCTCGTCATGAGGTTTCAGAAAGTATGTAGACTGGACATTCGGTCAAAAGAATAGTCTAAAAGAGAAATGGATTTAAAATCAAGCAAGTACAGAGAAACAATGACATTTACATCCTCAACCAGCTTGGTTAGTTTAGAGAAGAAAGATTCAAATGTAAAGGACCCATGGTCACAATTTGTTCCATCCCCCTGCTGTTTTGGTGTCATACTAAGTTAAACAATTTTCAGCTAAAGTCAATTTTTCTCCTGAAAGGAACAGCTTTCATTAATATCATATCCTAGGACCATGCCTGAGCTCACTAGCAGGGAAAGTCTCCCCTATATCCGATATATTCTTTAGTAACTCTCTTGTCTGAGAAGCGACTGGCATCCATGGGTTTAGTTTTATTAGTTTTAGTAGAGTTTTTTAAGGTACTCGCAACTGCATAAGGTCATATGGATGAGTGGATGTCAACAGAGAAGTCCTTATAGGGCATCAGGCTTACTCTGCTCACCTCTCTAGCTTTAACAGCACAAAGTCTGCTTCGACTACACGCCCCGGAAATAGCGGATCACAAGAGAGTGACAAACATACAAGAGAAGTAGAGGAAAAATGACGATAGTAAGGATTAGGAAAGGAAAAGCAGCAGTTCAGCGCATGCAGTTCAGGAACAGTTATGAGCATGACATTGATGAATCAGTCCATCTACAATTCTACAGTGCATAAGAACACGTTAATGTCCCCAATTTGGGAATGGCCTAAAGACTCTTTAGTCAGTAGAACTGCCCTGGGGGGCATGCACCTCAAATCTCAAATCCAACAATTCAAAGCTGGAAGACAGCTGTGAGGAGAGATACACCCCCAGGGATTTAAAAAAAACTGAGACGCAAGTGTTGGGTGTACCTCTGAGAATAATCTCTCTTCTGTTCCAGGATCTGGCTGTTGTAGTAGTTGGTGATCTCATTATGCCAGGAGAGGAGGAAGGACAGCAGGCCGGCCCTAGGACGCAGAGAGACAAAATATGTATGTCATACCTTACAAGTATAAACAACAGGCAAACTCTCGCAAACCAAATCTGGGATACACAGAGATTTTTTGTAAAACACATTTTCTTAAAGCAGGTCCCCGTCCACTCAATTTAGTTCATTTAGCAAGCAGGCTTCAACCCTGCCTATCAGGGTCAGCCCAGGCCGAAAGGAAACAACATCCTGGCAGAAAGATCTAGACAATCTGTAAAAATTCTCACCACTTGGGAATCAAACTGCATGCTACAGCAAAGCGCCTAACCGCTACACCACTGACACTGGTGCACAGAGATAGAATATGAGACATTTTACAACTTATTATAAGGACAGTGTGCAACTCTCACATGAAAGTCTCAACGGCTGGACAAGAGACAGAGACAAACAGATTTTTAAAATGTCTCCCCCCCCCTCATCCCCACCCCACCCCACTCACCTTCTCCCCCCCTCTGATTTGATGATAAAGTTGACATGTTTCTGCTTAAACACTTCTTCTCCATTCCCTCCCCCCTCCCCCTCCCCGTGACTCACCTCTTCAATGACTTGATGATATAGTTGAGGTTGTTCAGCATAAACACAGGCCGCAGTGCCGGGTCATTGTACGACTCTGCCTTGTTGCTCAGATTCAAGCCCAGGGCTGACAGAACACGGGCTGGGCACGAGAAACAAAATTTGTTGGTCTTGGTCCACTCAAACAATTAAATTCAAATTAAGTTTATTCAGATTTCTAGGCCGTTGTCTCCCATACTTGTCAGAGGGTATAAATCGGTATATTATCTTGTCCACTTCAAAAGAGACTCTTTCCATCTTTTATATAGTTAGAGTTTTTAGGCACATGCAACACACTTAAGGCAAATAAGTGCTGAATTTCCATTTCGTCTCTAGTATCTCCACTATAAAAGAAGCGCACAGCATTAGGTGAATATGGAATAAGTGCTGAATTTCCATTTCGTCTCTAGTATCTCCACTATAAAAGAAGCGCACAGCATTAGGTGAATATGGAATAAGTGCTGAATTTCCATTTCGTCTCTAGTATCTCCACTATAAAAGAAGCGCACAGCATTAGGTGAATATGGAATAAGTGCTGAATTTCCATTTCGTCTCTAGTATCTCCACTATAAAAGAAGCGCACAGCATTAGGTGAATATGGAATAAGTGCTGAAGATTAGAGGTTTTACTAGAGAGTGACATACAAAGAAAAAATGGAGAGATAAAGATGACAGATATGGATATTTACTAGTAAAGAAAGAGCAAAGTACACCTGCCAACCACTCACTCATTGTCTTGGACAAGTGGCCGCTACAGCAGGTTAAACTGTACATCCACAACCATGCTCTTACATATTCTCACACAGACACACTCACACTTATACAACAACACACAATTGTGCACACACAGGCAAAAGCAGAAAAGTGGCTTACTCATGTAGTCTGCCACTTTTTTCCGACAGTTGTCCGACGTGATCATAGCAGAGGGTGTGGCCTTTTCTCCTAAGAGAGAAAAAAACATAGTAATATTAATACTAAATAGCATTTGTACAGTGCATATCCCCACTCAACAGCAAACTTTATGCGCTTTACACTATATCATTACCCCAGCAGACCTTAGAATACTTTGAAATATTCTCAGCTTCCCAGCAAGAAGCATACAATGCAAGCACCTGATTAAGCGCGCAAAAAATTAACAAACTGACAAGAGGTTTCGCTGTATTTAGTCAGATACCCATTCTCACCAGCAAGAAGTGAGAAAAATTCGTGCAAAGTGCCTTTCCCAAAGATATAACATTGGGCCCTTGATGGGATTCAAACCCATGACCTTACAGTTGCGAGTCCCAAAGTCTGACCACTAGGCCACCTATGCCAAAAACAGACAAAATTTTTCATAACACACTTTATAGGTATTGTCAAGCGATTACAAAATCTATGTTGTGATATCTGAGAACATGCATCAGTAAAGAAAAGCTATACACATGAGAGACCAAAACATAACTCACCATGCATCAGCAACATGGCGCCTGCTGTCTCTGCATACTCCAACAGCTGCTCTAAGAAAATGATCGTCTGCAAAGAAAAAAAAAAGATAGATTCAGATTCTGATAGAGTGTGACTGTCTGCAGTGACAATGATTTTAAAAAGTTCACCTAGTGTGAGACTGTCTACCATGACAAAATTAGTGACTCATATTATTGTAAATGTTCATCTTGTGTGAGACTGTCTAAAAGGACAAAATGATTTATCCATGTTCTGCGAGGACACTGGCCTATAGCAAGGCTAAACATGCAAGAAATTGTCTGCGGCGACATAATATGATAAGGATTTATACATTCCTAGCACGTGTGAGATTGCCTGCGGAGGCATAATGACCATTTGTGTAACGCAATTTCCTGCTAGCAGCTAAAATCTTGTTCATTAACGTTAAGCTTGTGTGAGATTGAGACTTCCCCTACCTTTTTTAGGTAAGTTAGATATTTGCACTTCTTCAAGAATGCTGTATAAATGTACTGATCGCGCAACAGCGACAAAAGGCAAAGAGTGATTGGTATATTTGTCAACAGTGTTGGACATACCAGGTATCAGTAAGACTACACAAGTTTAATTCTGCCAATTCGTATGTAATGCTGAATTTAGTCCAAAATCACAATTTTTTCGACATGACATTGAGAAATATACATTTTTTTTGCAAATGTCCTGGATACTCTGGCCAATCACATAATCTCCCCATAACAGCATTTTGTAGACACAACCATTTCAATGTGCATAAAAACTCAGACGACATGGCAGGGATGGTAGACTACTCACATGGTTTGCCAGTTCATGCACAGTTCCATCCCGGGGCATGTTGGTTGACTTGTCATGCTGGAACAAAAAGAAAAGGGTTAGGCCTTATGACAATTATGTGAACTTGCTATATTGAACACATGAATGAAGACTAACAAGTTGGAAATATGTTCATTAGTTTGTCATGCAGAGCAACACAATGCAATTACCTCACATAAGACTACATTGTTAAAGGAGAAATTAAACACAAAAAATTATGTCCATAATATATATGTGATGCGTCAAAAAACTCTTTATCGCACTATCACTTGTAGGACAATTTAAAGTCAATGTCAGTGAGATCCCACCTTTATGCTTTCTGTAAATTCCTCCAAAGCCTTTGCACCCTGTGAATAGAAAGGACAAGCGCTTCAGGTTATAAGTGACTCCATATATCAAACATGAAAATCACAAGGCATGCACTGCACACCATGTACAAAACAATCACTTGGCTAAAAACGAACGAACAAAACAATCATTGGACACACATATGAACAAGACAATCATTAGACCCTTGTGACTTATCCAAAACAGTCATTGTACATATACTGCATGGGTAAGTTTAAAAAGCTCAAACTATTCCAGGTGGCCCTGGTGTGGACTTTTCAGAGAAAACCACACAAAATTTTATAGTTTCTAATATTATTGCAATTATTATCATTATTTTCATTGACCAGTCACAAAGATGCATGAAGTCTGAAACTAATCAGTTTGAAATTATAGTCCTCACCTTTCCTGAAATATTTCGTTTCAGCCCAAAGTCCTGACGAGGTAATTATGAGCTCTGCCTGGGAAATGACCTACCTGATGACTAGTGGAGCATTACAGACTTCAGCAACACCCTCTAACAACAAAACCAACACTACCATCATTATCACTACTATTAACTTTATTGTTATGATTTCAATCAAAACAATTATTATTCACAATTTCACTGCTGTTTTTGCTGATGCTGTTATTATTATCATTCTTATTTTCATTCTTGTCATTGCAATCATCACTTACAGTGCTGTCCAGTGTGGAGAGAAGAGAGGTCAGTTTGGCTCTGGTTGGTGCCTGACAGCCCTGGAATAAGATGACACAACACACTCACTCAGGTGAATATAAGCAGACACCGTCACTTGCAGCAAAATGCGAAGGTGGTAAAGAACTCACAAATATAGAGGCTAAATAAAACTGTCCGTAAAAAACCCATTCCCCCCCCCCCCCCCCCACAAAAGTAACATTCTGTGGCCTTTGGTGTCTTGACAGGCAATCTTGAAGCAGTATGTGTGATACAGCCTTGGGAGATAGATATTGAGCTAAGGAAGTCACTAGACTTTGATGGCCATCTTCTTGCTAATTTTACCTCTGAAAATAGACGACACCCACTTCTTTCAATCGCAAATATCTCGACATCTATTCAAGATAAATGGATATTTTTGTCCACTGAAAACAAAAAAATAAAAAACAATCGTTATCTCACTTGCGACTGGGCCCTTTCACCAGTCACAAGCGTTGAAGACTGGCGTTTTTGGGGGGTATTTCAATAAATCACCACAACTCTCAGAATTACCCTATTGTAATCATTTTTTGACACAGTAAAGTAACATTCAAGCTTAATTTAATACAAAAAACTAAAGTTGTCTAAGTCTAATACTTTAATTTGTATGATTTTTAAAAAATTGGCATGAATTTGATTTTCCGAAAAATTTCCAAAGACGTGACAAGTAGAATGAAATTCACTGCAACAACAAAAATAAAAGTTCAAAGTGTTCTGGTTTGATTTGTATACATGTGCGAGTGTTTGGTGAAAATATAAAAGCTGGTCTGTGCATTGATTCAGACCCATACACTGAATTACATGAGACAGATGTACGGCACGACATTGTGATTTCGTTGCGCGAAAAACAACACCGGTACTAGTGCTAGATCTAGCCCTAGAACTACGACTCGGGCCGTGTTCGGGTACATATCCAGGATCCTAACTATTAAACTCATCATATTCTGAGACACTAGAACTAGTAAAACGCACAGAAGTATAGAAAACGGCGAAATTATGTGATTCTTGTTCATGCGACTTCTTCGACCGTTACTACGACGCGACTGTCGGATTACTATGAGCTGTATAGAAAAAAACAAAGCGCGAGTTCCAGTCTGTTAAACCCCAGTTGGGGTCTGTCCTTCACCTTCAATAACTTAAAAACTACCGGCCCCAGAGATACGAAACGAAGTCTAAGTAGCTCAGGCTTGGCCAAAACAAGGGTACGAGGCGGGTCTCGCGATCCGTGCGTGATTTGTAGAGCGAAAAAAAAATTCCAAAGTTGGTCACGCAGGGCTTGTGTGACCCGTCTGAAGTGAGTTAAGATGATACAAGTAACTCTATATACCCCAACATTGATGAACGCCTGATTCCACTGTGTTGTGACACAAACGAAATACGCTAGACTTAGCAACTGGCAACAAAATGTGTGAAATCTGTTTAGAATAGAACTGGGTACTGTCTACAAAACGAGCCACGCCTGTCAACACCTGGCTATAAACTGTTCCACACTCCCGGCTTCATGTTAGTTTTAGGAGTTTGAATACATCAGATGATGATGTAGTTAGAATATTCCTTAACATACATTTAAGCCCAGTGCAGTACATCCAAAAGCAAAACAACCATCACTTGATCTAGTTACCTCAAGAATTAGGTCAAACTCTGGCTTGACAGTGCGCAGATGCTGCACAATTGGGAATATTGAGAGTACAGCTGTGAACTCATGTCGGGAGACATTTTTGCGAGCCGCTGTGGCCAACAACTGGGGACAAGAAAGAGAGACATAAAGATTGAGGATATTCAGAGACAAAATTTAAGAACATTGGTCACTTTCCAATTTGACATATCTGAGTTTGTCATGTATTCCAATTCAGACCCCTCCCCTCTCCCTCTCTCATTCTCTCTCTCCCCCTCCCTTTCTCATTCTCATTCTCTCTCTCTCATTCTCTCTCTCTCATTCTTTCTCTCTCATTCTCTCTCTCTCTCCCTCCCAAATTCATATAATACAAAATAGTCCAGAGTGCACAGTTTAGTTGTCACATATACATCTACACACACTCACAAACATACACCATATGAACAAACAGATACGCAAATACCTATATACAATCACACACATACACTGACTTTCTACCAAAGAAGTGATGTGTGCATCTTTGTTATCAAAGTCAATTAAAAAACAGAATTTCTGTACTTGTGTCTTCCTGTTCTTCAACGGTAAGGCGATCCTCTCAAAAGCCAAAGTACAAGTACCTGTGTGCAGTGCATATTTAATACACTGGTCATCTTATGAAATAGCCAACCCCTCCCCTCACCCCTCTCCTTTTCTCACTCAAGAGATTCATCCATCCATCTCTCAAGATTCATCCAACTATCCATCATCATCTCTCCCGTCCCCCCTTTCTATGTCATTAAGTAAGCCAATCACTCCCCTCCACCCTCCCATTTTCTCACTCAAGATTCATCCATCCATCCATCATTCACCCCCCCCCCCCCTCCCCCCTGCACAGAACATACTTCTCCCTCATTGACTACTGAGTCCAGGGCCTGCTGTATGATGGTGTCAAAGGCTTTGCGCTGATGTTTCTCTGGAATGATGCCTTTCATGAGGTGAGCTTCACTCTGGGGAGGATAGGAGACAGAACCAAGACATACAGCAGTAGCTACAAATACCACTCGACCTAAAGATAAAATAATACACACTGTAATGATCCGACATTGAAAAAAAAGTTGCAGAGTATTTACATCAGCTCTTTTAATATACAGGCTTCAGTTTTTGGGAGTAAGAAATGGTTTTGAATTTTGTCCGAACGACGGTCCGTGGAGCATACTCTTTTCATTTTTAATATCGGCCAAGCGATCTTTAAAATGCAAAATTTTCATACAGGACCTCTGAAATTTTGTGTCTTTATCCCAGAAGACTTGGTGCTCAATCCTACCCATGCTAGGTTTACAGGGTGTAGAAGACATAAGTAAAAAAAACCTGACCCTGGAGGGGATCAACTCCAGAAAGCTGGGATGACTGATGAACAACATACCTGTTGAGCTACTGAACGCCCCACCCAAGTGACCTTGACCGTATGTTACCTGCATGAGTCTGAGAAGAGCGCTGAGTTCATTGATGTACAGATCTGTCTCCAGGTCCACCGACTCATCCTTGACGGTGTCTGGGTACGAGCCTTGGCGCCGGTGACCTGGAAACACCAAGGAGACATTTTATTTGAGAATAAAGAGAGTGCTTTATAATGATAATAATAATAATAATAATAATAATAATAATAATAATAAAGACAGTAATAATAATGATCATAATAGTAATAAAAATAATAATGATTATAATAATAATAATAATAATAATAATTGCATTTATATAAGGCATATCCATGTTCTACAGCATGTTCTGTGTGCTTTACAATTATTGTTAACCCAGCAAACCCTAAAAGACTCGGCAACATTCTCAGCTCTTCAGAAAGTATGCAGTGTAAAGCTAGGGATTGCATGTGCTCAAACACTAACAATCTGACAAAATCTCTCGCTGTCTATCAACAGGTACCCGATCCCACCTAGGGGAAGTACGGACAATTAATTGTGTAAAGTGTCTTTCTGAAGGATACAAAGTCCGGACCTGATGGGACTCAAACCCAGGACTTTACAGTTGAAAGTCCAAGAGCCTAACCACTAGACCACCCACATCACGAGTTAAAATGTAGGTAGAGCTTTGTCAAAGAGTGGGATGTGCAGGGCCAAAATGTGGGAAGCGTTATTTCAAATTGCCAGTTGCTTTTAACCAAACAATGAATATGTTGTCAAACTGTAAGCTGTGCTCTGAAAAAGTGTGAGACGTGTTGTGTCAAAATTTTGGATGTCCAATGCAAAAATGTGTGCTTTGTCAAAATTAAGAACAACTACAGCAAAATGCTGGATGAGCCATACCAAAAATATCATAATTTCATTGCAAAAACGTAAGCAACGTTACGTTAAACAAAGACTGGGGACTGGGTAAAATCAGTTTAGTAGGGGGAGGATTGGAAAAAGAGGGGTCCTGAAACAGGGATTTTGAAAAAAGCGCCCCCATTCTATGGAAATTGGGAACCACTATGAAAAGAACAGGTATTCCAATGAGAGACAGTTGTTGTATCAGTCAATACAACTGTTTTGCCAGTATGAAAGGCAGACAGAGTATAGGGTTTTCCTCACCTGGTTCAAATTGTAACAGCGAAGAGGCTTTCTTGGTGAAGTTGCTGAGGACAAAATGGGAGAAAGGCAAGATAATATGTGGGTCTTAGGTATGTGTGCTGGGGGGAAAGGGGACAGGGTGTATAGGGAGAGGGACCTCATGCAATACACATACATGTGTCTATTTAATCAGGTACATATATATATATTCAGACACAGGCATATACAGTCGAACCTGCCCTGACGGCCACCTCTATAAGACGGCCATCTGTACAAACGGCCAGATTCCATTTCCCCACCTTGCGTTTTTTCTATATAATTTAACAGTGCAAAACGGGCACCTGTCCAAAGCGGCTGCGGCCACCCTATTTTAACACACAACCCCTATCACACCAAGCAATAACACCTGTCTTAGACGGCCACCTTAGTGACTCCATTACGTTTTGTCATAAATCATGCATTGGCCCCTGGCATTGTTGGTGAGCCGTCTTAGTCCAATCACCTGTCGTTGTTGTTAGGTAGTCCCTCCAACCGATCATGTTGCGTAGGCCCCTCCCACTGTTGACCAATACGTAACAAATTTCCTGCTGCTGGTGAGGTAAGCATGTGATCCCTCCTAACCCATAATCCCCGTCCAGAACTCGTACTCAAATCGTAGGTGAGATGAGAGGTCACTGTTTACCCAGTCTGTAACAAAGTAACAATGAACGTCAACAGGAACTTGTGACACAAGCATCGCTCGAATCTGAGTGGTGGCGACCAATGTGTTTGTTTTACCTTGGCACTCAGTCTTCCTGGTCTGACACATTTTGTTTTATTATCACCCTTGCAAAAAAGCAGTAACAAAAGAAAAAAAAAAAATTAAAAAACAATGAAAACAACAACTACAATAACAACAACAACAACTACAATAACAACAACAACAACTACAATAACAACAACAACAACTACAATAACAAAAAGAACAACAGAAAGGAACGGTTTGTTTTCTTCATTTTGATCAGTCCTGCCAAAGACAGGCACCTGTCTTA